ATATATATGCAACGATTTTACGTCTAGTTGTGACGACGAATGAAGGTTCGACCACTGGATTGTAGTGTAAGACAACCGGTGGGAATCACGTGATCGCTGTCATAGCCACCAAGGATGCTGTACATCGACCTGGGATGCTGAGACACGCGACAGGACGATAGGATGCGGGGATATGAGGCTATGGCAGCCGAAGTTCGTTGCACTCCCCCTTTCTCTCTTAGGACTCTTGCCCGCAAGAGTCATCCTTGGGGTGACAGCTAACGAACATTCGGATGCCCTCACACCAGCAGCGCATCACTATCTGCGGGTGCTTACCGAAGCAAGGGTCTCGAGGTATCGCCATACCGAGATGCCTTACCGTAATACGGCTTCATAGGAGAGATGTGGAGTCCCTTGCCACATCCTACTACTCGACTATGCAGTGCCCGACAATGGATACCTCCTGGAGTCGGCGTGGCCCGTACGCACTATACTCCCAGGTTATCTCACTGCCGCTCTGCTAATAAATCATTATAAGACTTATAACAGAGATTTTCGTGTTTTCGCAAACACTCCACGCGAACAAATAGGAGCGCGGATATACATAGCGGGGAATGCTAGTACATCGTTTCTCTACTACTGTTATCTCTCGTGGATATCTTTAACTGATGTTAATGCGGTATGAACGCAAGAAGGGATTCGCCTATTTACAATAAACCTGTGGGCAACGCCACGCGAATACTGTTCCTTCTCATTCTATACCCACATCATAGATGAGTTGACAGCCCGTCTCAGCGCTTAATCTACATCAGTGTGTCGTCGTCCTCGGACGCTACATACGGGAGAATAGCTCGTATATCTACGTATATACGCCTATGGTAACATGCAGCAGCACGCCCATAGTTTAGTATGAGGTCATCTGGACGCCTCTTATTCGACATGGTTACTCGTCGAACAGTGATTTCTACCTCCGAATACTGGGGTTTTTATACCACCGAATATCGCCGGGCTCGCCGAAAACGAGTGATCATATGATATGACCAGCTCGCCGAGGTTACACATTTCTCGCCGAGAAAGCCACGCGTTGACCTGCGTCGACCTACTCTCCTCGTCACCCACGTGGGGAAGAAGACGTGGGGAGGAACGCTCACAACCGCATCTTATACTACGATTGCAAGTGAGTAGCGTGCAAGCAGGGCTTCTACCAGCTTCACCTGTCTTGAAGCTGCCCTTCCTGCTTCACATAACGCACACACAACAAGTGTTTACGTTAATCCGAACAGCGGTCACACGAGGTGAGCGGTCACTCGAGGTGACGGTCACACAAGGTGATGACCTGGCACAGATATTCACGGCATGCACTAAGGTTTCTACGTGTCGAGCGTACAGGGGAAATTTTAGCTAGTATTGTCTAGCCGCATACCGGTCCTCAGCATAAAGCGAACATTTCTCTGCCTAGAGTGCAGCATACCCGCCCACACAGTGAATTCATGTACCGCTATCTTGCTGTGCATGATGTAATGGAGGCTAGCGTCTACGCGCTAGTACTGCGTCGATTACATAGCGGGCAAAGCCATCTTGTCGATGTTGTACGTGCCACTTTCAGAGCCGACAGTAGATACCTACAAACTGTAGGTAACTGACGATAGACGAGTGGGTCTACAAGCGTAATCACCTCGCTCTCGCTATATGCTAACCCGTGTATGCAGGGAGACACCGCGTGCAAGCCCATGCAACCTTTCTCTATGCCATCCACCCAGTCGTAGCACGCTGTAGCAATGGGCAGAATGCATACCTTACGCGTGTGTAACTAGTGGTTTGGCTATAATTTCTTGAGAGCCAAAACTCGAATATCGTGCAGACGAGGGGTGGCTTTGTGAGGACAGGCCCTCTCCTCAATCGTCCGCAGGGCACGGACGGGTGTGGCCG